GTCTGACACTTTTATATATATCTTAAATTAAAGCTAATGTAATATACTTTATTATGGTAAAAAAAAATTTCGGACTTTATTTTATCTTCATGGTGAAAACAGACATCAAAGTTTATAAAAAAAATACGATTTTTGTAAAAAAATTGTTTTTTTATATATTTAACTTAATAATGCTATGACATATTTAAAAGTGTATGGATCAACATTATTTTTTTATAAGAAATAATATTTTTTAATAATCCCTTTTTCATTCGACATACTTTATCTTAATTAGGATATTAATAATGAACTAGCAGATCATGTAGCTTTTGGAATAATCCACCAATTTTTTAAAATTAAACACTATCTAAAGATTTGCATCGAAGCGTTTTTTTTTGATAGTGATTTTAATCACTGTCAGGTATGATTATACTTGATCCATCTATGTCACGTCACTACTGTGCCGCGACCACCCTGTGCTGGGTTGGGTTTTTTTTAAATTAATGGTAAAATATTGAAATTGAAAAAAATAAAGCACACAGATAACAATTGTATATTTTTTTGAATAGGGTAAAATTTGTGATCCACAACAATTTTTCGTGACTTTCAATACGTACAAAATTCAAAAAAATAAAATTTCTTTTCAAAAATATTTTTCAAAATGTTTAAATCATAAAAGTCAAAATAAATCTTTCAAATAAAAATTAGACAGGATTGGTCCCACGAAGTCCAAGGACAACATTTTTTTTTTCAGAATACGGTTTAATTCAATAATATTTAAAGGAATCAGGATTTTCAAAACATTTTCAAAAGTTCTACTTTTTATATGTGTGTTTTAAATTATAAACGGCAACTAATAAGGTGGAAAGGTCAGATTATCAGGTTTTAAATTAAGATATAAATATGTCAGGATTTCCGGAATATTTTAAAATTTAATTGCATGCAAAATGCACTACTTTATATCTCTTCCTATAGGCTGATTAAGGGTCAGTTTTTCAAAAAAATTATACTAAATTTAAGGTAAATAATTATGAAGAACTATAACTACTTGTAAAAAATTAATTTAGAGATGTTCATTTTTCAAAAAGTTATGACAATTTTAAGGAAAAAAAGTTTAAAAAAACGTCAAAATTTATCGATATTAAAAATAGTAAATTTTTAGATATTTCCCCCTTTTGCAGAGAACTAGGTTAATTTTTTCAATTTTTAAGGTTAATGTCTTCAACAAGATACAATTTTTTATCTTTTGAAGTATCCTTAAAAAAAATTGGCTTAACGAGAGGTAGGAAAATGAATGACAGGCACAAAAAAAAACGTATTATATAAATTTAATACATTCTTAGATTCGCTTGGTAAGTATATTCGACTATTTAATTTAATGTAGTTTTTAAATATTTCTATAAATAGCATGTAATAAGTACTAGCATGTGTGAATGATATAAATTAAGAATAATTTATATATGTTGTAATGCGCAAACTAACAAATGTGACGTTTTCAAAAGTTTAAAAATAAAGTAATTACAATTTAAATAGTATTACATTGATCACCATTATTGTTAAATAAAGAATTATTTGTACAACAATTATAATTCATCACTTTTGATGTATAATTTTAATATTTCAAAGAAAATATCTCTAAGCTTTATATTATAAAAAAAATGAATCCATTTTAAAACTAATTGTATATTTTAATTTTTTCTTAAGTATAACTACTGACTATTTTTATACATAGATATTTCATAGTAACCAAAATTGTTAACAAATGATAGGATAACTTGACTATTACTGCAACAGGTAAAAATGATTTTTTTTAGCGAAATACATATTGTTTTACTTAAAATAATAATTTTAAATGTTATCACTGTTTATACAAATGATGAATTGAGTCAGAATACTGAAAATCAAACATTAATTACTATTGACGATTTGAATAAACTCATTAGGGAGTATCCTGCATTTATAATGTTGACATTACAAAAACAAGATTATTACACAAGCAAAAGTACATCCCGTTGCCCTATGCCTTATAACGAAAATACTATTTTAGACGATCCTGATCTTGTGCGGTCTAAGTATTTCAACCCTAGAAAGTGTAAAAAACCTTGGACATGGACACAAAAAAATGAAATAGATGTTCCTGTACCCATTGACGATACCATTGGTAAAAAATTAGGAAATATCATTAAACCTTGTATTAAAAACAATACCAATATTATCCAATGTTATACACACTATCTGAATGTTATGGAAAGCGTTGGTTTAACATTAATAGATAGATTTTGTTTGTTTGAACTTGAACTTTGGAATAAACTAGGACACTTGGAGCTTACTGTAGATTATAAAGAAGATTTTAGTTTATTCACAATTACAATTAATTTTAAAGCAATAAAATTAATTTTTGATAATTCAAAAAAACTTTTAAAAAATATTATTTTTGCATTTAAACGATATTATATTTCTACTCTACCTCTGGACTGCGTTGAAAATATTTTAGAGATTATGCAGTCATTTTCTGGTAATGTGAATGAAATTTATCAATTTATAAAACTCTTTAAACAATGTCGTATATTAATGAAAAAAAAAAGAAATTATGCTGTTTTAGACAATGATCAATATTGGAACTGGGATTTTACTTCTGTTTGCAAACCTGATGACCATTTACTGGTATCTACACAAAATGAAAACGGTATTATTGGATTAAATCTTTTTACCTCTAAACAAATAATAAATTCAAAGACATAAATTTTATTTTTTATTAAAATTATGAATACATTTTTAAACATCTCATTTATCTATAATATAAATTAACATGTGTGTTATTAGAATTAATTAATTATTATTAATTATTTGCGTATATTTTTACCATAACTCATGTAAGAGTAGTAAGGTACAAATTCAAAATTTGATGTTAAGATTTCAATTATGCTACTTTATTTTTGATATTTGACGCCCAATAGCATTAATGTGTATGTTTCAATTTTTTCTAGAATTTGCAATTTTTCATAAAATTTTTCACAAATTTTTGTTCTTTAATCTTTCTTAGGAGTCCGATTTAAATACTTATTGTCTAAAGCTACGTGACACATAAAATCACTTATGATCTTTAATTTCATTAAAATTATATTTTTTTTGACATTCAATGTACAGTAAGTTTGGTATAATCAGTATGTGAAATATTTTTAAATATATTTTAGTATCTATTCAAAGCGAAAAATTATTTATTTTACAATGGTGTGTTTTTTGTGTATATTGCCACATTTTCACAGCTCGCAGCGAACATTTTTTTTCAACGATATTTCAAAAGAAAATAAATAAATAAATCGTATCTAATTGAAAACATTATCCTAAAATAACCGAAGAAATTTTCCACGTTTCCCGTAAATGGAAGGATGCCTCCCCAAAAGCGATTTTTTTATAAATACGTTAGATATTTACCATTATTTAATATAAGTTTTCGAAAATCTAACCCATTACTTGCTCACCAAAATAGATTTAAAATAGAAACTTTTGCACAAAAAGTAATATATTCATCTTAATTTTTGAAAATGTTCCGGAAATACTCTAAGCTTTAAACGCATGTTAAACTTATGATTATGCTATTTACTACAGTAAAAAAAAATCTCATAATTTTATGAAAATTTCAAATTCAAAATAATAACATGATAGAAATATTTTCAAAATTATTCTTACATGATTCTAGAATATCACAGTAACGTTACTAGAAAACTATTTGGCCAAATCTCTATGCTCTGAGAATATTTCCTAACATTTCCTTTAATATTATATTCAATATACAAATACTATAATCATATTCATGTTACATAACAACAATATTTTAGAAATATTATTGAAATATTATTGTATGGTATCATAGTACATAGTAACTCAAAATTATTGTAGATGGGTTTGGTATAAGCATAAGGATGATTTAGTTGTTATGTACCTATTAAATAAAATTTTCTCTCGAGGTATAAGTGCGAGGGTTTTATGAGATGTAAAATATAGAATAACAAACTGATGTGTGAACATTTATTAATTTAATAATAATTTGAAATAGAAATTACTGTGATTTATTATTATACTTTAAGTATTTAAGCTTGTGCTGATTGTGTGTCGTGTCAATAAATATATCAAGTAGTAAAAAAACCACAAATGGGTTCTCTATCTTCGCATGAGAGTCTATTTTTTTATTTATTACATAGGTAATCCACTCAAAGATTGGACTAAGCTGGTTAACTTCGTACAAACATTAATAAGCAATATTTTATTCTAGTAATCACTTAAATTTTTTAATTTCCTACTTAATTTATGTAATCAATATACTTAACTTTAAATTGTATAAGACTTCTGTAAAATGATAGTTTACCATCACGATGTTGGAAACAAGATTGAAAAACAATATACTTCGATCTTAAGTGAATTTGTGATATATGACAGACTACTTCTTACAATTGTTAAAAAATCATAAAATGAAAGAGTAGTGAGTGGAAGTAACAGTTTTTATATTAAATTTAACCCATCTTTACATGCAAGAAATGACACAACTTTTTACTATTAACTGTTTATTATTCGACTGTGTTAATTATTAAAGATTATTTTACTTTAAATAGCTGTTTTGTCATGTCTAAAAAATTCCTTATAATTATTACATTGGCTTTTATCAATGCATTTCATATACATTTTTTTCAAAAATTTACATACTTATATACAGAGTGATAACTGAATGATATATAATAATAATAATAAATTTATATTCTATTTGATATAAAAATTAAAAATTAACGTTTGAAGTGAAAATTATAATTGAAATAAGATGGGTAATTATTAAATTTAACTAACTACTTTTAGTAAAATAATAAAATTGTACCCTGTAATTTATGTCTTAAAAATTAATTGTCAATCATCATGACAAACAGATTTTATGACAAGCATGGCTATTAATAAATTATTGTAATATAATTGTAATATCATAGATATAAAATCTTTCTATTTATATATTCGAAATTCCTTAGAAATGAGTCTATTAAAAGTATTGTGTGTGGTAGACGATGACTTAGGTGATGACTTAACAGAATGATCATAAAATTTTTTAAATGCTATAAATTGTAAATAACATTCTTTACTTGCAATATTTTTAATAATATCTGGACCCAAGTATAAAAAAAGCTATCTGAATTCAGTTCTTTTTAATCTACTTATATCTTGGAGTTTTCATGTTTACAAGAGAAATTGTATGTTACTCTTGAATGAACTGCTAACATAGATAAAGAAAGTTGCTTAATTTTGTAGAAGCTTAGATGAACATTTAAGAAACCATTAAAAATCTTATACTGTATGTTTTTTCATACATCATAAGCAAACAATTGTTTGATTAGAATTTATTAAAAATAATCATTTGCAAGTTCATTTTCATTAGTTTATTTACATCATAAGATGTAAAGTCCGGTTTCAAATTTGAAGGATGAAAGGCCTTGCCTTCAATAATATTTATATTGTAATGGAAATTAAATTCTATTTAAAGTCCAGAGTATTTTCTGAACATTTTCAAAAGATAAGCTGAATAAGTTTCATATATAAATATATATATATATACAGAGTGATTTTTTTATCATAACCCACTCAATTACTTACAGAATAATAATAATTAAAAAATTTTTTTTTATTATTATCTTTAGTTACACATTATTCTTGAATTATTAACTATGTAATACTTTTTAAGTTCATCCCTTATGCCTGGTAAGGGTGTCAACTTTGTTTTTTTAAATGGTAACACATATTTTGAATTTAATAAAATGTTTGAGTTTTTAATTCAATAGTAAATGGCATTTGAATTTTTAATAAAACTTAATTTTTTTATTAGATATAAATATTTAAAGTTTCAAAATGTTGAGCTAATATATAGGTATAATACACAAAGGATTATAAATACAGGTAGCTAATTGGTTTTTTATGATATTGCTATCACAGTCACGGATTGTTTATTATCAATTATGACTATCAATAGATATACTTTTTGTATTGTCAGTTAGTGTATTTATAAACTCACAACAATGTACCTTACTATCATTGATAATAATAATGCTGTGTACCTGCTAATATCGATGTCATATAAAATCAATTAGCTACCTGTATTTGTAATCCCTTGTGTATTATACCTATATATTAACTAAAAAATTTGAAACTTTAAATGTTTATATCTAATAAACAAATTAAATTTCATTAAAAATTCAAATGCCATTTACTATTGAATTAAAAACTCAAAAAATTTATTAAATAAAAAATACGTGTTACCATTTAAAAAAACAAAGTTGACACCCTTACCAGGCATAAGGGATGAACTTAAAAAGTATTACATAGTTAATAATTCAAGAATAATGTGTAACTAAAGATAGTAATAAAAAAAATTTTTTTAATTATTTTTATTCTATAAGTAATTGAGTGGGTTATGATAAAAAAATCACCCTGTATATATATGATTCAAGTTTTGAAGTCCGCTGTATAAGGAGATGTGTTCTAGTTAAAAAAAAACAAGTGCGTGTTACTAATACACGCGGATTAAGTGAAACATACTTCAAAGTTTTTCAATGATAGAATATTAGGTTTATATTGGAATAAAATAAAAACATACACTAAAATTGTCATTTTCTATTAAAATTAGTTTTATTGATTTTCTTATTCTATTGTCGCAAGCTCCAAAATAGTTACAAAAATAAAAAAATGTTTACAATTTTTTTTACTTAAAACTGCCTTAACATGTTTACAAATAAATAATTAGAAATAAATTTTTTTTTAATAGATATAATAGTTATTTACCTATCCTTAAGTATATTTTTATTGTAAATTTAACCCTTCACAGGCGTGATTCTAGATGATAACTTTTTCACTTAACAATTAACTTTTTCAACTTAACTTTAATAAATGTTTCAGAAATACTAACATTATTAAATATTTATATATATATATATTAAATTAAAGCATATGTGATATACTTTAATATAGACAGTAAAATATCGAATTTTATATTTTCTTCGTGGTGAAAATGGCTACCATATTCAAAAATATGCTATTTTAGTATTAAAATTCTCGATTTTGTATTTTATTTTAAAATATCTTACAAATATTTTTGAGTTAGAAAAAATGTTTAACTCATTTAGATTCAATATAATCAATTAATATCAAGAACTATCACTGTAGTCTACTCTCGTTTGAAGAAATCCCACATCCATACTGTGCCGGGACATCACTATGCTATCGTTTTTTCATTAATTATCTCCAAATTAATAGGAGTATAAAATTCTTTATAACTTTATATTTCTATAACTTCTTGACAAATCAATACAAGTTTTTGTGATAAATATTTTTATATACCTCTTTAATTCGACATACTTTTTAAATACATACTAAGTAAATTGAAATAACAATTTATAAATTTATATGTATTATTAATAAATTATTAATTAATAAAACAATGGAGTCCGTCTGCGTCGTCCAGACGTGAGAACCGACCGTGATAATCTTTATTGATTTTCAAAATTTTTTTAAAAAAAAGATAATCTTTACTTAAAAATGTATTAATTGATAATTTTTTCAAAATGTTAAAGCAATTTAAAAGTAAAAATATAAAATTTTACCAGAAAAATGGCATGGTTGTAACTACGGCGGTAATTCGTACATAGAAGATAATATGCCGAACAAATTTTTTTCAGCTTATGGTATGACACCTATAATGGACTCGTCTCTCGTCATTTCCTCCGAGAGGCGAGTGGATCATGTCCCTCATAGGCCCCAATCGGTTGTACAGGTGGGTGAACCGGACTCACGGTGAGCTGACATTTTGCCTCACCTAAGTGATGTCCGGCCACGGCTGCTTTAGCGATTACCTGTACCATACTCGTAAAGCAGCCGTGCCGACTTGTGACCAATGTTTGGATCGCCCGGCAGAGACAGACAACAATCTGCACAACCTCTTCTAGTGCGAGACATGGACCCAGGAGCAAGATTCTTTGGAGTTCCGACTAGGGTGCACGTTCCGGGTTGGGTCCATGGTTGACCCTGATGTTGGAAAGCCGGGAAGCTCGTCTAGGCGTTCGTTGAATCCGTCTTGAAAAAGAAGGAGGGAGCGGAACGCATGATACAGAGGCAGCCACGCCACCCCGGACAGGAGGACCTGAGGCACTGGTTTAAGCCAGCACCTTAGTTCCATGTTTTTGAGTTTTGTGAGTATTTGCCAAACTATGGCAAAGTCCTACCTCCACCTCTACGTGGTGCGTCCTGGGCAACAGGAACCGTTGAAAAAAAATAAAGTATGAAACCATATAACATTTATGAAAATCGGTGACCTATCTCTGAATCCTTTTTGTTCTATATTTAAAATTTTAAAAAATATGACGATATTAAAATATAAGGAGTACACTACTGACAAAAAAAAATTTATTCATGCCTTCATCATTCAATAAATTTTCAAAATTTAAAGCTGAAAAAAATGTTCTTCATAAATATTATATTTTTTGTTCAATTTCAATGGCCATTTGAAATTAGAGGTAAGTGCGAATATTGATTTACATGCAATACTCTTTAAAACTTCATGTAATAAACATGAATTAAATGAGGTAAAATAGGAATTGTTGAGTCAATTAAATTATTCAATTAACACATTATAAGTCATAAAAAAAAATAATTTGAATATTCAATTTCGTCTTTGTCAATTATACCAACTTATATTAAATAGTACAAATATAGAATAAGTTATTTGTATTGCATTGCGTAAACTAACAAATATACAGCTTTTGAAAATTCCAATGAGGTTTATATTTTAAAGTAAATGAATCCATTTTAAAACTGTAGAAAAATTGTACATATTCATTTTTTCATCGATAAAACTACTATTTTTTTTATATATACAGATATTTCATAGTAAATTATTCATTAACAAGTTACTGAATACTTTAAACCAGGTAAAATGAATTATATTAACGAAATATATATTATTTTACTAAAAATAATAATTTCAAATGATATCATTGTTTATACACATGATGAATTGAGTCAAAATACTAAAAATCATAAATCCATTACTATTGACGATTTAAATACACTCATCAGAAAATATCCTGCATTTATAAAGTTGACATTGCAAACACAAAACTGTTACATAGGAAAAGATATATCTTGTAGTCCTATGCCTTATGACGAAAATACTTTATTAGATGATCCTGATCTTGTGCAGTCTAAATGTTTAAACCCTAGAGAATGTAAAAAACTTGGAACGCAAAAAAATGAAATAGATGATTCTATATGCAATGTTGTCGAATACCAACCCAGCTCAAACAATAGTACCATTTGTCAAAAATTAGGAAATATCATTACATCTTGTCTTAAAGACAATACTAATATTATACAATGTTATACTCATTATCTGAATGTTATGGAAAGCGTTGGTTTAACATTAGTAGACAGGTTTTGTTTGTATGAAATTGAACTTTGGAATAGATTAGAAAAATTGGAGGTTACTGTAGATTTTAAAGAAGATTTTAGTTTATTCGCCATTACAATTAATCTTGAATTATTAACCTTAATTTTAAAAAACTTTAAAAAACTTTTAAAAAATATTTCTATTGCTTTTAAACATTATAATATTTCTACTGTACCTCTAGATTGTGTTTCCAATGTCATAAAGAATATGACTTTGATCAATAAAGAGTTTAATGATTTAAAATATAATGAACACTTTATAGAATGTCGGAATTTAATGAAATCAAAGAAAATTTACGCTGTTTTAGACAATGATGAGTACTGGGAATGGGATGTTACTTCTGATGGCAAGCCTGATGATAATTTAATGATTCTTATACAATATAGAAACAGTATTATGGGATTAAACCTATTTGCCAATAAACAAAAATAATTATTCCAAAACAATTTTTTTTGTATCTAAATTATGAATACATGTTTAAAAATCTTTGTTATCTTAATTCGATTATTTTGTGAATTATTAATCTTAATCCTATATCATTATAATACTCTTGTAATATATAGCATAAGGTTTGCAAAATATTTTAATGATATGTTTTAAACAATAAAAAAAGAAATTTTTTTTTGTACTTTTAAGTTCATTTTTTTTTTTTTTTGTTTTTGTTTATTCATAGAATGTTATTTAATGATATTTAGGATGATTTCATGAATTAAAATTAGAATATTATCAAATTAAAAATATTTTAAAAAATGTTCAAATTATATTTTAAACTCGTTTAAAACACCGATAGTTAAAGAAATGCGTCAACAGTTATAATAGTTATCAGTTAGATCTGTTTCAATCTGTAAATTTTACTATTTACAAAAATAAAGTATATACTCTTAAAAGGTATAATGACGAATTTAAAAATAAATGATATATTAAAAAATACTAAGTAAAATTTTCTTATGAGATTACTATTATAAGAGCAATCGAGTTGCTAATATTAAAAGAATCACTACGTATGTAGTAAATAGTTAATGCCAACAAATGTTATTACTTTTATCATTTGTTCAACTATAATTCTCCCCGGGTGTGTTTAAATATTATCATACATATTTTTATAAATTAAATTTTAAAAAATTATCAAACTGAAAAAACCAAATAACAACTAAAAATCAGTATTTCTTAAGTTTTAACAATTTTTAATTTACGCTAAAGGTGTGTTGCGAGATATTATTTATATTAATAATGAATGAAAAATAGTTAAAAATGAACTAATTAAGTACATGACTAGTCGATAACGACTTTTAAAATATTACTGACAAAATTATTACAATTTTTTAATATAGAGTGGAATAAGAACGTAGCAAAGTAGTGATAATTATAAAAATAACATAATCCACTCTTCACTTTATGTATTAAAAAAGTTATAACTTCTGAAATAATATCAATAGTTGTTAGCGACCAGTCTTTTTCTTAATTTTTATTTTATAATTCATTTAATATGTAAGTCACTGTTAAAAATAAATAAAATTGATACCATTATAAGGCGTAAGAGATAAATAAAAAAGCATTTATTACTTAATAAATCGTGAGATATATGAAACTAAAAAATACCAAATATAAATTAAAACATAATTAATGTTTTAAGAGAAATCAAGTTGTTAATGTTAAAAGAATCCCTCTTTATATGTATAACTATTAGATGAATGTATTTAATTTAAATTCAAATTTTAAAATGAGTTAATTTATGTTTAGAATCCACACTGCAAAACTTTAATAAATTCGTACAAATATATTTGTCCCAAACCCTTTTCTAAACCGATACTATTTTTCCAAGTCAGATTATGAAAACTTTAACTATCTAGACGCCTATCGGTATTATGAATACACCCAAAACTATTACAAAATTGGTTCAAAAATTTAATTTTATTGAATTCAGTTGGTTTAACTTTCTTGAAACCTTAATTCTATCACTACTTGAAAATATTTGATTTTTTCTGACGAAAACAAGCTGAAATCATACAATATAAATAAACCTATAATAATGTTGACATAAGAAATAAATTTTATTTAACTAACACATATTATTTCATGCGTATTAATATCAACGAATTTTGCAATGTATTATTCACAGTGAATTCTAAAAAAAGTTCATGATTTTTATTCGACAGATTTTTTATTACAGTTATTCGTTTAATTAAAGCGTCAACTTACTCTGTATTTTCCTAATTGTATATTATTGGAAAAGTGTGATAATCACTATAAAAATTATGTTTTCAAATTTAATAATAACTATTGTCCAAACAAGATTATCTGTATTTTAAATAATTTTTATTAAACATTGTTTAAAATTTAAGGCATAAATAATTTTTATGCCGTTAACTGAAACCATGTGACTGTTTAATTTGCTTTTAAGTTGTAATTTTTACTGCGTCATTAAAAGTAACATTATTTTTTATCATAGATAAGTAATTTTTTATTCCTTTCGGGTTCTCAAGAATTATTAAAAATTTTAATTATTTGAGTAATTGAGTTCATAAATATGGCATAGGTATAAATGGGTGTGACCAAAAAACAAAATGTTTAATATCATTAAAATAATAAATAACACTTGTTCAAAATTTCAGTCATATTCTTTATCGTTTATTGTTTACCCAATGTGATTCCAATTCGTGCATTTAGTTTGTGCATGATTAAGTGCTAAATGAAAATATTTCTAAATTTAATATTCTATCCTGAAATAGTTTTTTTTTTTATTTTTTAAGCTCCAACTTCTGAGGTTATTAGCTTGAACAAAATTAAATTATTAGGTTACATATATGATTTTACAATAGTATTTATTGAACTAGTTTCACATATAAAATTTTTTTTTTTCCTTAAAATACAAATATACAATGGCTGATTAAATTGAGTTGTACATATCGATTATTTTAAGAAATGAGATTATTTTGATGGTGTTGTCATTGGTTGGGCTGAGGGCTTCAAAGAGGTTATCAGGCATTTCTAATCTTTTTCTGGTATCTATATGGTTACGACATTGGACAAGGANTGGTTGGGCTGAGGGCTTCAAAGAGTTTATCAGGCATTTCTAATCTTTTTCTGGTATCTATATGGTTACGACATTGGACAAGGAGGTGCTTGACTGTGAGAGGTTCTCCGCAGGTTTGGCATATTGCAGGATCTTCTCTGCGCATNCCGCAGGTTTGGCATATTGCAGGATCTTCTCTGCGCATAAGATGTCCATGTGACATCTTTGAGTGGCCAATACGTAGCCTGTTGATGACTACTTCGTCTTTGCGATTTGATGTATGAGGTTTTTTATTTCCCTTAGTTTATTATTAGGTGTACGCCGCCATTCGGATTCCCATACATTTGTACAAAAGGTTCATACATTCCTATGGATGTCAAAAATAGTTTTATAATGTAATAAATTTCAATTTTCTAAACATTCAGGGTAATATTCAATTGCACCCAAAATATGAATAAATTCGGGACACCTATGGATAAAATTACATCAATAGGTAATACTTAAATATTAGAGCAAACTATTTATTTATACATTCTATTTAATTTTAAAATCACCACGCAAAATATATTTTTCATAAAAAAACGTAGTTTTTGTAATCTCATAAAATGTCTAAATTAAAATTGTTTCATTTTGGACTTTTAAAAATATCACAATTTAGTACAACAAATAAATCTGTTTCAATATAATAAAACCTTCAAATTAAATATGTTTAAATAAAATGTAACTATAACATTTTTTTATGGTTATATTAATTTAATAATTCTAAAAATACGGTTCATTTGTATTAAAACTGTAAGAACATCAAGATACTACAATTCTATCGAAGACCAGATAAAATGACTAATTGTAATTTAATACAAATTTTCTTGCTAACACTTAGTATTTCAAACATTTTTTTAGTTCATTCGGGTCGTAATAAACATAATAACAGTAAGTCTACACCTAGCAGTAAGCCATCAACTTCTGATTATAAATCGTCCATTTCTAATGGTGATTTGTATAAACTTATGAGTAATTTTCCATTATTTAAGGAAATGTATTTACGAGAACAGAAGTATTATACAAGCGCTGGTGCAAACCTCTGTCCTCTACCGTATGATGACGAAACCGTATTAAATGATAAAGATATTGAGGAAATGCAATTCTTTAACCCTAGAGAAGCTAGAAGACCTATGACGTGGACACAACAAAATGAGCAGATTGTAATTGTTCCAATCGGGGCAACCATTGGAAAGAAGTTAGGAGATGTAATTCAACCACTTATTAAAAATGACCCAAGAGCTATTCAGTATTATACTTACTATCTGAACACCATGGAAAGCGCAGGTATAACTATAGTAGACAGATTCTGTTTATTTTCAATGGAAGTCATTGACAGAATTGATGCTATGAAAGAAACCAAACCTTTCACCGCGGAATTCACTTTGTACAATGTCGAAGTCAATTATACGGACCTAATTGATCTTGTGAAGAACTTTAAAAGTGCGTTAAAAAGTATGTTTAACGCATTTAGACGATATTATATTTCTACACTACCTCTCGACTGTATTGATAGCGCTTTAAAGAAGTTTACTTCTTCGTTGAATACAAAAAACAATCCATATAAGGAAAAAACTGATGAATTTCGTAAACATTTAGTGGAATGTAGGACATTATATCAATTAAAGAAAGGCTATGTAGTGCTCAATGATGACATAAGTTGGAAATGGGATATTAATAGTGTTGAGGTGCCTCCTGACAACCACATGATATTAGTAATACAAAGGGATAGTAATATTCAGGCATTAAACATTTTTGAGTTACACAAATAAATATTCATTTTTATGTGTTATGCGAAATTTCAATTCAGTTTTGTAAAAATCATATTCAATAATATAAAAGATACACGTTGAAAGCCTAATTAAAATTTTATTGTAATCAAATTTATTTTTGTCTGCAACTTAAAAATTAGTGAAATATTTCATTCTAATTGTATTAAAACTTTTGTAAATATAAAAAGTTTATATCTGATTAAACACTTGAGTTACTCTTTTATTTTAGTATAAGAAACATTATACTCAAGAAATTATATTAACTGTATGAAGTACACCTACAACTAGTCAATTTATAAAACATAATCTTATTTTCACTCGATTTTTCCTAATAAAAATGTATGGTCGGGTAGAAATTTTAACCCGACCGATAGAATTTTATTCTTTGGAACTACGCGATTATAAAATAGCAGTCGTCCGAATTAGATAATTGTTATAAATAAAAATATCCTAGTGTACACACACTAGAAAATAATATGTTATAACTAATTGCTGTGTGCCAATGCTCCGCTAAACGTTAAACTAACAAAGCATTTTTCAAATAATAGATTTGCGGTAATATACATCACGATCAGAATAATTTTATTCCGCCGATTCGTGTAAATTTATCGATATTTATTAAATTGCAAGTCTAACTGGCGTAATCGCTGTTTATTTCCGTACGGATAATGAATATTCATTAAATTACATGACTTGTATATGTTGAAATGAAATTCACGTAGTAGTTTAAAAACATTGGCGTATTTTATTTAGAATTGATTAGCGCACCAATGTGTTTTAATGCGTTCGGTGAAACCAATAGCCCATTTATTATCGTAATTAAGTCGTTATCGGACGATTTTATCTTTAATTTTATGTGCGATCGACACCGTTTTAAGTACAGTACGTTATTTTCGTACTCGTTCGAGGAGCTCATTAATATCAGTGAAAAACATTGCGGCCGACGGTAATAATGTTCTCTTTGCACCTACGCAGGCGAACAGATAGTATTCCGACAGCCGATTTCGACCGCACGGCCGCCGTATCGAGTCGCCCGTACATAATAACGCAGTAATATTATAAGCGCTCGTTAGGCCACCCAGTTAGCGTCACGTTACCCGTGTAATAATCGTACTGCACAGGTAGATGTTTACGTGCACACACGAGTAAAAGAGATGCCACCTATACGCGCTGCATAGATTATCATAAGCCGCCGAATATTCACATTGTGTGTGTGGGTAATTATTATTAACGCCGCGGTGTTTGTGTGGGGAAAGGAAACGCGACGGGCTCAGAACTCGACGTACGGGCACATAATTGATCCGCAGTGTGTCGCGGCCGCGGCGGTGGGAGAAGACACGTACGAGGCCGCCTATCGCGCTAATAAATTACGTCCGAGATATATCGACTGGACACCGCGATGGTTAACTCGGCGACGTACAACAACAACAACAACATTAGGAGGAAAACATAATTTTGAGTCTTAAAAAGAGCCAGCGTTGTCGCCCCGGCACAGGAGGCGTGCAATTAAAAGGGTAGAGTGGGGCGGAGGGATGGGCGGCGGGACTCGTTGGAGAGCTAGTGGCCGTCGGACGGCGCGATTGGTCGGCTGGGTCGCTACCGCCCCGGTGAACGCCCATCGCCTCTCGGCCCGCGTCCAGAGGAAAGGGGAAGACGGCCACCCGACAGATTCGGCACGTTAACGCACCGTCAGACGTCGTCACATATTAACACGTTGTGGTCCGTCCGCGTGTACGTCCGACCCGCGTTGCTCGTGTACCATATTTTCTGGACGTTTTTTGCTCATCGCACACGATTTTGCTGCCACAGTTTTGTATCCGGTGGTGTGTTTTTTTTTAATATTTGCGATTTTGTGTTTTCCGCGCAACTCATTCCATCGTATAGTCGCGCACACGAGTTTGTTCGGATTTTAATAATGCGCCAATGACTTTCGTCGCGGCGAATAGTATGAAATCCATAGCGTTGCGGCCCAACAAGAGTGCAGTCGGCGGATTTTACAGCAGTTGCGGTGGTTATCCGACGGATCTGAGCTACGCCGTCAGGTGCCGGTCCCGGAGTCCGGTCCAACCCGCCGACGAAATGGACGACATCAGCGTAGGACGGCCGTCACCGCCGGCGTCGCCTGAATGCTACGCCAGGCTGCACGACAACCGCGGTGACGGTGTCGACTCGGATTGCACCAACTCGTCCGGCGGTTCCGATTACTTCGAGCCATTGAAGAAGTTGGGCACCGTTCAATTGGACAAGGTGAGCTACGGCATTAGCGAGCGCAAGAACTACGTCCCTAAACGGCGGGTGCAACAACACCGTCAGGCGCAACTCGGGACCAGTGTCGGTCTCGCTGCCGTCGAGTTACAAAGCCAGCGCAGAACGAGCGCGGAAGCCATGAGCGCAGACGACTCGGCACCGGCGGCTGGAGTTAAGTCTTTCAGTATCGCCGACATCCTAAGTCACGAACCTTCGACGGGCAGCATCGGCAAGCCTACAGCGTCCTCCGACGAGTCCGCGAAAATAGTAAGACCTTGGACGGAAGAATATCAATCCGTTCCGCAGCCACCCTGCACCTCATTCGTGCCGCCCCCGCCGCCGGCTCATCGACAGACTGTCGGTGCCCTGTTTCCACATTCGCTATTCATCCAACATCTTCATCAGCACCATCAACATCGCCCTAAATCGGCCGACTACGAAACATCGACATGCACGAGCGGACGATCCAGTACCGACGGAAGCGAATGTTGTACAAGCCCTGAAATTGCGAGTTGCACTCAAGGAAATGCATCGAATAGGACAAGGAAACAACAGGCGGCCGGCAAGAACAATGACAACTCTTCGCCCCTGGACGCCCTCTTCCAAATGACCAGCAAAACTTTTGACCAGTTACACGGAGATGCATCCGGAGCCGGTAAGTGTTTTAACTTTTCTTATTCTATAAGAAAATTTGAAGTTCAGTTTTTTAATGTTAGTGACGCAGTGAAAATATCGATTCAAATAAAATTTATATTGAATTTTAAATTGGAAATTTTCACCAGTTAAACCGCTCCATATTTTCATTAACATACAAGCAAATAATAAGTATCAGAACTACGTCTTATATTTCTGTATATTCACAATTTCTATGACTATTTCAGTGCATTAAAAAGACGCGTTTGATTGTTTTATCTCATATGACGGTAAAATTTTAAATGTAATATCTTCTTGAAAACCTCTCGTCATGTTCATTAACCAATTCATTTCAGAATTATAATGATAGAATATTTTGATAACTTGACGGCCAGATAATTTATTTTCATAATAATTAGTAGGTTGGTGGGTACTAAATTTCGAATGTCACAGCTTATCTTTCAATTTATAATTAAAGTTGTTCGTTAAATTAAGAAGTAGTAAAATCATCAAAGATCTGCTGCGGCCGTTGTCCAAAAAGTTTCTCGAGTAAAATATCTCGCCGGATGCTTTTGCAGTGTTGCGTTTAAAATGCAATTTTCGATTCACTAGCATAAGTAAACGCGTCATAACTCATAGTAATTTATGTGACGTGCAGATCCAAAGAAACCCATTTGTTACACTTACCGAAGCGACAAAACACATTCGTGTAAGCGGTCGCCGGCGAGGAGGCGTGTGCCAAAATCTCTGTCGGGTGTTACTTTTTAGGATATTTCGTGTAGACCAATTCGTGCCAAACACATTTGACGGGACATTTAATAAAACAATAATAAATATATATAATTTATTGAGCTATATTTATAAACACCTGCACACCGAGATAATTATTTCACATATTAAGTTGATACGAGTTCAAGTATCAGAGCGTTTAACACAACATTAATTGTTCCGTAGTATTGTTTCGTCGATATTTTCTCAACGAATAAAATATCATTAATAAAAAAAACCATTACATCCAAATAGTTAGGAGAACATTTTGGGTTTGAACTTTAAGTACCAAAATGTATCGTCATTATTAGCACTTTTGTATTACTGTGACAAGTTCGACCGTTTTTGTCAAACTCGAAAAGGACGTGTGCTTGAACCGCTAAAATTCGAAAATGCTCAAGTCGCCATTAGGTACCAGATATTCGAATGAAACTCCATGCGCTTAATTACATCTCGGGCAACTGTAAATTATTTTAATTGTACTTAGCATAGGAAATATTACATCAACTATTCGCTTTAGCCGTGAAAACGTGCACACTCAAATAAACGTGTACCATGCGCATAATAAATGTGAGTGTTTGGGTACGTGCAAATTACACTTGTGATAGTTATTACCTACACCGTTGCGCGATGATTAATTTTAACGGGCAACGCTATAGGATAATTAATTTTCTTTTAGAATATGTACTTTTTTTCGGAGGCCTCTCGAGGGGAGAAGAAATTTAATTAGAAAGAACCACTTTGGATCGATAGTGAATTTATTTAACGTTTATTATTTTTACTAACACATAAGTCGCTCACGGGAAATCAATAATAATATCCAAGTTTTTTAATTCTATTATGTTTTTTTTCAAAGTAATGGATCAAAATTGTTTTACTGAAATTAATTAAATTTTCCGAGCTATTTGCATTATAAATTTCATTAAAGACGTCCCAGGAAGGTTGGAAAGTTAATTTTCCGCCTATATGGGTCTGCGGTTGTATTTTTACCAAATGCGCAATACATGTATATTACAATATTAGTATACACGTGTAAGAAAAAAATGTATATGAAAGAAAAAGAGGATGTGAACATACATAAATATTGATAATAGGTGTGAAAGTAAACCGCCCTTTTGACGTGCCGCTGCCGCCCCAAAAAAGACCACCCCGCCGCATGAGTTGGGTTAATGTCGGACAATATTACACATTAGGATATTGCAGCGTGTACCGGTTGCGGTAAACAAAAGGTTGTTCATTAAAGAGATTAATACCGTAACGATAAATAACCACAACCGACACAGTGTAAATTGTGTAATTAAAACATTATTTTGATATGGAGTTGGAAATATGAAAATAAAAAAACGAAAACCAGTCCATGAAATTTAATTGAGCAGATGTTCCATCTCTTATGTCACTTTGTACGGTCGTAACGATGATAATTCATGTACCTTAAGTCCTTGTGATTCAAACAATTATCCCTAAAGTGTTTTATAAAAAGGGTGAACTTATACAAGTGTTTGTAATGTAATCAATAACATGCCAATGACTCGGTGCAGCAGTATTTCCGTTTCTAACGTTTATATTTAATTTCAAGGGACAATATTTCTGATAGAAAACCTGCAAAATAATTGGAAAAGCTAAGTAAGCCGATGTAATTTTGCGTGTAAGACTATTGATTTATTTTTGACATTTTCTAATAATATAAATATGATAAACAGCCTATGGTTATGGTTTGTGTGTTGTTGTAGCTAACACGCAAACCAAACGCCAATATTGCATAAATAACTCGCGCTAAACTTACACCGGAGTATTGATTTTTCTAAGCTAACACTACTTATTATTTTGTCAATTAAACAAGAAACCATTTGTTCGTGTCTAAAGGTCTTAAAAGTAGTTAAAATAAAAACAGATGGAACAACGTCGAGAATGGTTGACACGTTGATAAATAATTAAAAACTTAACTAGACGTGTTGCTTCGTTTGACGCACAAAGAACAGTAATTTTTTTTTTCTATAAATACAATATTTACACGCTGTCGATTTAATCGGCTTATAATCCGAAAAATCTATAGATATTTTCGAAAGCTTTATTTTTGAGAATTGCCCATCGGTCTGTTATCGGTAAGACAGTATTATTATCTTCTTGGTCGATATTGTGCTTGAAAACATCAAAAGTCATCCGTATCTAATTGGGTCATAGACAAAATGACTAGAGCTCATCGGCCGAAGAGTTTTNTTTTCTATAAATACAATATTTACACGCTGTCGATTTAATCGGCTTATAATCCGAAAAATCTATAGATATTTTCGAAAGCTTTGTTTTTGAGAATTGCCCATCGGTCTGTTATCGGTAAGAAAGTATTATTATCTTCTTGGTCGATATTGTGCTTGAAAACGTCAAAAGTCATCCGTATCTAATTGGGTCATAGACAAAATGACTAGAGCTCATCGGCCGAAGATGAGCTATNGGGTCATAGACAAAATGACTAGAGCTCATCGGCCGAAGAGTTTTTGTTCGTGAGGTGTCATTAGATTTGCGGTAGGAAGACGCTGGAGGTTCAGACGTCAGTTGGTAGAAGAGATGCCGCGGAGTGAAAAAATGATTAACAATCGATAATAATACCGTGGCGGGCGGTACCGGAAAACGCGTTCGGTGTACCGCCTAATATTTGACATATATATAGAGATAAACGGGATGATTTTACCGCCTATTACATGTTATTATTGTGCTGGGCAGCGTTTTGTACGTGCCGGACCACAGGAAGCCCGTGCCGCAATTGGACGCCGCGGTGGACCACGTTGACCGGTAGCCGTCATGAAGACGTCTCTGCCGCGTCCTAATGTTTTATTGGAAATGGAATAATGTGGGCGCATTCTCAGACGGTACGACCAACGTGTGTAAAATACCGTGTGAATTTTATTAACTGCGGTCGCACGAACTAAAAACGGTTTGTTATTAGTTTCCCACAATTCAGCTTTCCTTTTGATAGTCTATCGGTTTTCCCTCGTTCGGGTCGTACGTCGTACGCGAACGCAGCGTTTTTTATACTGTTTAATGCCAGTGTAATCGGTCAACCGCATTGAAATTCGCATTAAAACCGCTACCGTATTTCGTGGGCTGCGATCACGCGTTGTGTACATGGTGTCTTTGTGGTCATACAACAATATGCATTACTACGTGTGGTCAAACAGTAAATGAAATCGCCTCAGAGTCCGCCCACCAGCACAATGACCGCCGAAACGGCACCGTTTGTAGTCGTACCAATGCGCAGAATACATTTTTGTTCTAATATAATGTTTTCGCGCTATCGTAACATATTAACCGGCTTAATGCTCAATGTGATTTTTAATCTAAAACGAAATCTAGATGACAACATATTTCATTTCGGTCGAATGGCAACGGTGAGATTTAGATGCGTTACATCTAAATGAAAAATTAAAGCCAAATGTTTTTCATTTAAAAGAGTCGATCCTCAAAATAATATAGTCTACAATATATATTATCTATACATAAGTTTCTTTATTTAGTGAACAATATTTTAATGGGGTAAAATAAATTTGTTATCTCTTTCACTTTATTATAATTTTTTTTTTTTAAGAAAAAATTGGCTACTTTTCAAAACGTGGTTAAAAATTATTTAAACCAGATATTCCTAAAATTATAAAAGTTTGCCAAAATAAATTTATTATATTTACTCTTTGTCTGTTTTTTAAAAATTATTAAAAATACTCAATAGTGTCAATGTAGAATTAAAAAAAAAAATGCTGTTCAAATCTGTATCGTATTTGTAATCTGATTTTTACGAACGTTAAGTGTTATTTGTTCTAATATATTTAGTTCTGCCAGAGAAAAACAAAACGTCTAATGCGTCGTATAATACAATATAATTCCAAAATGTAAACGCCTAATAAATAATGGAATTAAATGCTGAGCGGAAATTCAGGGTGGTCTTATACGCTTAGTGTCTAAGATACTGAAATAATAATATTATGTGTTGTGTTTTCACTCACACACGTCTCTCTGCAGCCAACAGGTCGAACGTTTTATTATTATTAAACGATAGTTGTGTTACTTTCGTGCTAAAGTCCACCTGAATACACAATTTTAACATTTGACGCACGACCGGTTTTCTCATACTCGAAAATATGTCTGAGAAGGTGTTCTGTATTAACCCGAACAGAAATGTTTAATGTATTTTGGAAAACACGAGTAGCCAAGAAGAATTAACAAGACACAGGACCTAACTCGTCGTTATTCCGAAATCGATTAATA